CATCAGTAATTGATTTCCAAGATTTTGGTTGTAACACATTTTATGGCTTGGAAACCACTAACTGCACAATATCGACCATAATTTCAATACTTTACGCTTTTTTAATGCACATGCATATGTAGTCAAGAGAAACACTAAAGCACTTTTCTTCTGTTGAACTCATATCTAATAGAAAGTAGAATATTGAAAGACTTTAGGTTAGCGTGTGTTCTCAAAAGTAGAAATCTGGTCATTCCTGAGTTCGGGTCATCTCGTACGCTCCCCATGCTAACTCAACTTAGTGAATTGCTCAAACGACTTAGCATGGTACATTATAAAATCAAAATCAGCTAAATGGTAGATTCGCCGTAGCAGAAGAAGTTCATAGCATTTTCCTAACAGTGAGGTCGGAAATAGGGAAATATTTATGATTAGATGAAGAATCTTAAGGCACAGTACGCTCAAAACAATAGAATTTCCATGCTGAAAACTAAAGCATGCCTACAACTTTAAAGCGTTTCACAAGAAAAATTGCGTGATTCTAGTCCTAAGAAAGCACTGTGTGAATAATACAAAAGGTTGAAATATACTCCTTACTCTGGGGATGTCATAAAGGCAGAGTTATTGTATGCCATATAAAAATCTTCAACCTACCCGCATCTATAGATCAGTCCTTACAACTTCATAACTAGACAAACAACATGCACAGACTACCTCAATTGATTCTCAGTAAAAGTTCAATAAGATTTCAACAGTTTTCTTGTAAAGCCTATCTAGCAAGAAACTTACCTGAATGAACTGGAAGTGATCAACTACTGCGCTAATCTGCGTGGTTGGTTCAACATAGACGTTCACCTGCTCTGGTCTAGCAAGGATAACGCCAGAAAAGCAGACCTGAAGTAGACAGCACATGACGAGGTCTGGTAGCTAATGCGAGGACACCTACGTCTGATATAACCGGTAACGATTTTGTGTTAACACCGTGGTCAGTGTCAACCCAGGCAGGCGATGTACGCAGCCAGAATAATTCATTTACTAAAAAGTGCGTATTGAGAGAATAAGTTTGAATCAAGTCTTAAACAATCAAAGATTAATCACCTCCGTGCGGTCTATTCACTCCAGTAAGTTGCCCTAGATCGCTGGCCAATATTTTCCCACCACCAAGAAGCTCCGTTTCAGTTACATATGAGATAGTTGCTTTGTTGAGCATTTCAAATGGTTTAAATATGTCGCTGTCGAACTGCGTATTTGACAAAGAAAGTGTGGAAAACGAAATCAGCATTCGAAGAGGGAAGCGTCGATCGTCAGATAACGGGGAAGGAAATGGAATAATAATCTAAAATAAAGCATATGAAGACTTTAACTAGAGCTTATGTGC